GCGAATGAGTGAGTGAGGGAGGGATTGAGAGAGAGAGAGGGACCGTGACCGAGAGTAAAAAAAGTTACAGACAGCGAGACCATTGTCCCTTTCCCATGCTCTCAAAAGCCTAGGTTGTTCACGAAATTCCAGTAAGCCCAGCTTGACTCAAACACACACAGGTGAATGACTCACCTAGTCCTTGATTGAGTCCTCCAGGTGCAGCGGCAGTCAAGGGCTATTTCAAGGCGAACATTTAGTGTCAGCGGAAGAAAAATGTTTAGGGGAGAGAGGGCTAACGCGTGTTTTGCAGCGGGCACGAGAGAGAGCATCTGCGTTACATACATCTGCGGCGAAGTGACTCACAGTGCCGGAAGTGGTCAGCCCGGGGGATTACGGGCTGTTAAGGGGCGTGGAGGCGTTAAAAATAGTGTGCTGTGGAACGCCCGTTTCGAAGTGTTGACATGGCCCTGCCGCGACCCCCTCCATCACCCACCTCCTCTTCGCGGGTCATAGGTCTCACGTATCTGTATTTACGTTGGCCGCCTTGATTAAACCCCGTGCAGTGATAAAACGGGTTTGAAAATTAGGCCTCCCCACCCCTTCCGTTGAGAGCGGAGCAGGTCGTTCTGCTTGCATTAACTGAGGTGGCTTTGGCTTATGAGCCTCGGTGAAATGGGGCTTCCTCGGGCGAAAGGTTATGCGCGAAGTTGATTAGATGTGGTATTTGGCACAAGGCAGCAGGGAAGTGGGGAGGGGAAGGGAGGGTCTTACAAGCGTGCAGGTCGTTAGCATAGTCGTGAACGAAGTCGTTAGAGCAGAGTGGATGGAAGTGCGACCTGTAGAAGCCACTCCGCCCGCCCTAAGTCTACGGTGATAGAAAATACCGAGGGCCGCCACGACATGTCATTACCGGCGGACAACGGGCCATCGAGGAGGTCGAGGGGAGGGCGAGAGGGTGCGCTCGCCCTCTCGCCCTCTCGCCCCTTGCCTCGCAGCTGGAGGGGACTGGGGAAATTCGTGCAGAATAGAGGGCGCATGGGGTGGACACTTTTGCCTCTGTTTCTGTATGTTCTTATGATTTAGGACGTGACGTGAATAAGTCTTGTGTATTTGTAGGGACCGAAGATCGTAAAGAATCAAGAATCAAGAATGAAAGGGAAGTAACATCTGCGCAGGTGTCGCGTTACACAGTGTTTATCCAGCGTCTTTGTCTTCTCATCAACCTTATCTGTTGGGGCTCGAGTCTGGTCCCAGGGGCGCGGCCTGGCATCAATCCTAATTGCGATCTGCATCCAAGTGCAGTGCCTCGAGGGGCAGGAGACAAAGCTACCGAAGTCCTGTTTTTCCTGAGGGAGGAATGGGAAGTCTGGAGACAGGGTACACGTAAAGAAACAGGCGAGGAAAAGAAACAAAGAAAAAAATTGAGTGTTTATAGCGATTGCTCTGATCAGTCTCGCGATTAATTGGAATGTCACTTGAGAGGTATAATTAAGGCCAATGAGGAAATGGCTTGAGATGTGCTTCTGTCGGATGGAATTGGAATTTTCTTTCTTTTTTTTTTGTTGGTGTTGCAATTTTCACTTCGTCATTAAATCCTCTTGTATTTGCATATTGAATGTAATGCAAAGGTTCTAACTATCTTTGGATCTTGATTCATCAGCCAGAAACTGCAGGATGGCATCCGCTAGAAAGAAGTGCCAGCTGCCATTCCATGCAAGAGGAAGGAGCCTTGATTGTCACTCATGGAAAGAATGCGTCAGAGTCTTTGAGTGCCACATGCCGGGGCTGACGTGATAAGGTCCAAATGCTTATCAGACGACACTCTTTTCGTAGCTAAAGACTTGATAATATGTGCCTCCTCGTTACGGCCTTGCATGTGAGAGGGAGAGGGGGAAGGAGAGGAAGAGGGATGGGGAGGAAGAGAGAGAGAGAGAAGAACGAGAGATGTGGAATGGGAAAAGGGTTGTAGGGGAAGAAAAGGGAGATCAGTGTAGAGAAAGAGAGAAAAATGGCGGGGAGAAAAGGAGGGGGAACTCCTTGCGCAAATACGTTCAGAAAACAGATACGCGGGTTAGGTTATTCAACGAATGGATTTTTTCACCGCTAAATGTACCATTGTCGAGGACCCTTGTCTGGGCCGAGGATTGTGGTAGTGTGTGTGGCGAGGCTTCGAGTGAATACGCCGTGGCGAAAGGGTTATCCCTTCCAAAAGGCCGAGAGACCACAAAAAAGGGTCCATTGGGAAAAGGGTTTGATCCTCTCTACAAAAAAGGGCTATTGGGCTTTTGCATGTTGTGAAATTATTTCAGGGTATTGGTGTAATGCTGACCATGTATTCAATAGCTCTGTAGGTCTTTTAAGTCCTTATTTGTGGTTGTCCGTAGACTACTCTTTGCTTGGATGCTACAGGGCATCGGATTGACTGGTATGCTGTCAGTGTCCGTGCTGATTCATGGTGTTGGATATTGTCGAAAGCCTTAGTGTGCGTCCCATAAAGGGGAAGAGGAAGAGGAAAATG